GGGGAGTGGGGCTGGTGGGGAGTGGGGTATTGGGGAGTGGGGTATTGGGGGTTGGGGTATTGGGGTGTGGGGTGTTGGGGAGTGGGGTATTGGGGGTTGGGGTATTAGGGTGTGGGGCTGGTGGCAGTGGATGTTCTTGCAGACAGCCAGCACAGATAAATGCCAAATGACCTTGTTCTGAATGAACTGCTTCTCTGATTTTCTGTCTCTGTCAAACATTACAGACCGAGTTCAGGCTTTTCTTTGACCTGGTGATATTTGAAATCAGTTTTTTGTTATTGTCCACTACATGCCGTTGCTTCTGTGTATCTAACCCTGTGCGGGCTGTGAACAGGGAGTGTTTGATGGGGACAGTGTAGAGAGAGCTTTACTTTCAGTTTAAAGGAGTAGAGAGAGTTTTACACTATAGTCCAGCCCATGTTGCCCCTGCCCTGAGAATGTGAGACTGGGACAGTGTAGAAAGAGCTCTACTTTGTATCTAACCCTGTGCTGTCCCTGTCTTTGATGGAGACTGTGTCCAGGGAGATTTGCTTTCAGTTTAAAAGAGAGCTGGGGGTGGGCATGGGGAGAATGCTGGCAGGGTAAGAAGCAGATTCCCAGGAGCTAGTGAATGTGGGAATTTGTTCAGCTGATTTTACCTGCCAGGGCTTTGCTGTGCTGTGATGCTTCAGTGGCGAGACTGTATGAGAGATTAATAATCCGATCCCTCTCTCTCTCTCCCAGTTGCATGGCTCGATCTGCAGGGGCCCAGTTCCCAGCTACACTAGGACTAAAATTAAACAGAAATACATGTTTACTTGATGTGAACTCATGTCCAGCAAGGCCAGAGACCCAGCTCTGTGATACCACAGCAATGAACAGGGCCACAAGCAAATGCAAAGAGTCTGAACTCATTAATTTTAACTGAACCCCAGAATAACAGGGACACAGCCCCCAACAACCCCAGAATAACAGGGACACAGCCCCCTGAACCCCAGAATAACAGGAACACGGCCCCCTGGACCCCAGAATAAAAGGGACACAGCCCCCTGAACCCCAGAATAACAGGGACACAGCCCCCCTGAACCCCAGAATAACAGGAACACAACACTGGAACCCCAGGATAACAGGTCACAGCCCCCTGAATCCCAGAATAACAGGAACACAGCCCCCTGAACGCCAGAATAACAGGAACACAGCCCCCTGAACCTCAGGATAACAGGGACACAGCACCCCTGAACCCCAGAATAACAGGAACACAGCCCCTTGAACCCCAGGATAACAGGACACAGCCCCCTGAATCCCAGAATAACAGGAACACAGCCCCCTGAACCCCAGTATAACAGGGACACAGCCCCCTGAATCCCAGAATAACAGGAACACAGCGCCCTGAATCCCAGGATAACAGGGACACAGCCCCCGAATCCCAGAATAACAGGAACACAGCCCCCTGAACCCCAGGATAACAGGGACACAGCCCCCCTGAACCCCAGAATAACAGGAACACAGCCCCCTGAGCCCCAGAATAACAGGGACACAGCCCCCGAACCCCAGGATAACAGGGACACAGCCCCCTGAACCCCAGAATAACAGGAACACAGCCCCCTGATCCCCAGAATAACAGGGACACAGACACCCAAACCCCAGAATAACAGGGACACAACCGCCCTGAAGCCTGGAAGAACAGGGACTGATTTGGGAGTGCAGTGGCTCACGGGGACAGTCGATAAAGGCTGGAAATCACTCTGTTAATTGTGAATGACAAGAGACCTTTTGCTTTTGGAGACTGGGGCAGCAGTGGCGTGGCGGGGAGAGAGGTGAGGGAATGTGGGGGTTCGGGTATCTGAGGTGGGAATAGAGCTGGCTTCTGAGACACAGGGACATTGTGCAGTAGTCACTGGGTGAATATGAAAGGGGAAGGTTATGATGGTGCCGTTCAGCGTGTGTGTCCCTGGAGGCCAGACTAATGTTCCATCAGAGATCAGACTGCAATGAAACCAAGAGAAGCAAAGCTGACAGTCAGTCTGAAACACTGAAATTTATCAAAGACCCTATTTTATGAGACAGGTCATTGTGACCAGGAATTCCAGACTGTCCTTCTCACTATCCATAGTCCTGACTCATGAAACTCACTCAATGTCTTCCACTCCATCCAAACAAACACATCGAGCAGACAACAGCTAAAAATTTCAACACCATCAATCCATCAGTTAAACAGCTGATACCATCATAACAGACCCTGAACTGGTCTCCTTATAGAAAACAGAGCATGTTAAGGATAATAAACATAGATTCAATAATAATTTCTAAAAAATTTCTGGGGAAGCAGCAGGGAGTGAGATTATCAAAGAGCTAGGAGAATCCCAATGGGTCAAAAGGCCTCTTTGGGTCCTGTCTGCTTCTGAGATTCCTCACCTGGTCTTTGCGATCATGGTCTTGATTTTCTGCAACGTTCTTTCCTTCTCCTGCAGTTGCTCTGGGCTAAGGGGAATCTCAGGATTCGCATCAATATATCGGGAGGTGATGACCACTGTACTGGGTTTACACTGAAAGGAAATTACCTCATTATTAACTTGTAGGCCATTTGCATGTGTAGTTATAAAAGGGTCAAAGAACCCATTGCTGCTGAATTTTAAATCAGCTGTGTGTGTGACACTGATACATCCATGTTATGTTTAGGGGAACACAGCGAGGGCGAGGGTGCGAGGTGTTGAGTTCAGGAGAGGACCAGAGGATAAAAACCCACCCGGTTCACTAATGCCCTTTAGGGAAGGAAACTGCCATCCTTACCTGGTCTGGCCTACATGTGACTCCAGACCCACAGCAATGTGGTTGACTCTGAACTGCCCTCCGGGGTGATTAGAGATGGGCAATGTATGCTGACCTCATCAGAGTTACCCACATACCCTGAGGTGGGCATTTAGCACCCCCCAATATAACCAAGCCAGACCATCCAGGTCTGCTCTCAGTCTCAGTAACAATACCAATCAGATCAATGTAACTGGGACCTCATTGCTATCCTGCAATAAACTACATCTTGTTTAAGACCACAGTCCCTACATAAGAGAGTCCCAGGTGGTTTTTGCTTTTCAACAATAGACCAACTGCATCTTGTCAACTCTAACCAGGAGTGGCTGGAGATCTACCAAAAAGCTCCTCCACCATTGGTTCGTCCTGTGATATCACTTGGACACACTCACACCATATCCATTCCCACCCACACTCTCCCTCTGCCTCTCAGTTCCACCCAGATCCTCCATCTCTTTCTCACAATCACCAATTCTCTCTCCCACCCACTTTCCCCCTCTTACAGTTCCTTTGTGGCTAGGGCTCTAATCTTTAAGAAGTAATTTTTCAAATGTTCGGTGGCATTCTCCTTGCTCTGTACTTAATCATGGCATCTGCTGCTCTGTTACTGAGATACACAAATACCAGGGCTCTGGTGTCAACACACTGCAACCACCAGTCCCTAAATATGACCCTGTCCCTTTTCCTGGTCAGAGTATCTCACATGAAGACAGAATCTTTGGAAGAACAGGAAGGAGCCTAATCGTGGGGACATGCTCACCTCTTTTCTGACAATGCGATTATTTTTTTGGGTCTGGCTTTCAGCTGTCGTTCTTGGTGAAGATAATGTCGTTATCAATTTACTTGATGTGGTCACATTTGTAGTTTCAGGTGTCTCTGATGCAGTTGTTGCTTTGATCAGACTATTTGAGGTGTTTCCAGGTCTGGTTCGAGAGGCCACCATATCAGCAGTCACTGCTCTATTGGCCAGGAGGCTCACTGAGTTCGGTTTCGATGTCCTTGGAGAGGCTCCTCTCTGACAAGTCAACAAACATGGTCTGAATGTAAACTTAACATTACTCACTCTTCATTTTCACCTTCAAACAACTGATTGACCTTACTCTGGATCTTCCACACCCAATTGTAAAACACACATGAAAGCACAATACTGTGGATGCTGGAAGTCAGAAACAAACAGAGAATGCTACAGGAGCTCAGCAAACCTGGTAGGTTCTGTGGAGAGAACAGAGTTAATGTCTCAAGTCTCGTTCAAATCTTCTTCAGAACTGCTGAGCAAAGGACTCAGTTTTATCCCTTTATGTCTCCATCTCAATAAATTTAGGGCACAACATGACGCTGAATTGATCTGTTACTTTCACCTCTGTGCCTACTCCTTTGGACAGGAGTTCTCTCTTTTCTCTATGTACCCTTTCACCCATCTCTAATACTGAGTCTCCACCTGGACCCCCTCCTGCTGGCCTCTTAACTGCCCTTGATCTCTTCATTGAGAATGGTCAACTACCTTCATTTTTCTGCCCCCTTACCCACTCTAACCTGTTTCTCTCTGGAATTCCTGCACTCTGTTCTGTCAGGTCTATGCCTGACTATTATCAAACCTGTAGACAAAACTGTTGCTGTTGTCATCTGTTGAGCTGACCTCTAGCTTGTAGACGCTGAGTGACAAGTCACAGACAGTTCATGCTATCTCCACCTCGACTGTGATGCATCACTAAACATCAAGTTGTTGTTTCCAGGACTGTCACTGACCTCATCCCCTCCAGACATCTTCCCTCCACATCTTCCCATCTCATTGTTACCCAAGCTCACACGGTGTGTTTCTGATGAAGAGTTACCAGACTCAAAACTTTAACTCTACTTCCTTTCCACTGATGCTGTCAGACCTGAAGAGTTTTGCCATCAATTTCTGCTTCTGTTTTGGATATCCAGCATCCACAGTTCTTTGTTTTATGTCAGCCTGCTTCTACCTTCTCCCAAAATCCACAAAGAGCACTGACACACCCAACATCTCAGCCTCTTCCTGCTCCCCTGAACTTAATTCTCCATATCTTGCCTGTATTCGCACCCCACCTCCCATTTTTTACTCTCTCCCCACTTATATTCAGATTTCTCCTGATGCTTTACATTAGGTCCACACATTCCAGTTTCCTAGCCTCAGCTGCATTTTCTTGAGCATGTACAATCCATTGAAATGTCCATTCCCCATTGGAATGGTCGGACAGTTCTCCAAAAAAAAATGCAGTTCTGAAGAAGAGTTACACCAGACTCGAAACATGAAACTCTGTTTCTCTCTCCACAGTCACTGCAGGAGTTTCTCCAGCACATTGTGTTTGTTGTAAAACATACACGAGCCATTTCTGTGAACAAGTTTCTCTACGTCAGTCTGGTGAAACATAAACCATTAAAAACAACCCCAGGACTTTACAAACACACGGAGAAATTATTGACCATTCCACCGTAGCTACAGTTACAGAGTGATAGAGATGGGAAGGTGAATTAAGCGGATCAGCTGACATGGATTCCAGTTCAAAGACTGAACAGTATAAAACTGACTAAACATCAGTCACTAACAGCAGGAAGAATGCCACGTGCTGGGGAATTCTTTGCCTGGGCTGTTACTCACTAACTATCCCAAACTGATTTATTTTCTCAAAATTACTGAAGATATTTATATGTCAGACAAATGGAGTTTGATCTGCTCAGTTCAGAGAGGTGTCCATGTCACTGTGATGCTCCTCTGAGGGAGGACGTTTTAAAACAGGGCACACTCACCATTACAGGGGACACAGCCACACGCCGTTGGGACAGAGCACCAGTACTGCGCCGCTCCTGGAGATGTGCTTCCTGGTGTCTCTTCATTCTCTCCATCTGCTCCTCCGCACTCATCTTCCCTTTCCTGTTTGGGCCAACAGTTGGTGTACGTTGTCCCTGGAGACACAAAGACAGAACAATAACAGAGTATTCTGTCTCAGGCTTGGTGCTCTCTCTCTCATCGATTCTCCAACCTTTCATTGTGTTCCTGAGTGGAGTCTGCTTGGGAAGAGCAGCTAACTCTGTTATGCAGGAAGCAAAAACAATTCGATTGGAGATAGTGGGCTAGGGGAACCTGCTCCTCGACAACATGGACTGGGAAAATCAGGAAAACCAGGAAAGGGCTCAGGATCAGATTAATCCAAATCTCTGGACAAACAGAAACTGACATACAGTACAGCCTCCTTGCACCCCAGCTCATTCCTGACCCATCCCATCACACTGCCCCCCCACACACCTATCCTTTTCCCCCCCCCCCCCACCCCCCCAGCTATCGGCAACCCACCCCTACACCACCCCCCCCACACACACACCCGCCCCACACACACTCGCCCATCCCTGACTGACTCCCCCACACACTACACCCCACACACACCACCCCCCACACACTCGCCCCACACACACTCGCCCATCCCTGACTGACTCCCCCACACACTACACCCCACACAAACCCCGCCCATACACACATCTTAAGAATCCAAGGGAAAAGTTCAGAAAGTTTAAATTTCCAGTTCCCCTGCTCCCTGGGGCCTTTGGAAAGCCTCTTGGTTTTGTAGTTACAGCATTGACTTGGATAGTTCTTCAGGGAAATATCTCAAATAACTCCTGGACAAGTGACCCCTCAGTCACTCACACTGACCCCGCTGCGCCCCAATATCTCTCCCTCCCCTCCCCCTTCCATCTGCCCCATCTCCATCTTTACCTCCTCCTTATCTCCCCTACAGCCCCACACCCCCCAACCTTAATCCTTGAAATCAGGTTCCCTAGCCTTGACCTGAATATGGGGCTAGTGAGTCCACTGCAGTTAGGTTGGTAACCAATGGGCCCTGATTCCACATGGAAATAACCAGGGGGTGGGGGCAGATGCTGTTATAACCCACTGACTTATGTTGGGCTGTGGGAGCACAATCCACTGGAATGTGGGAGAGGGGTTTGGGATACAGGGAAAGGTACCTTGTAGTTTCCATTAGAGGCTGGATCATGTTGAATGTCAGCATTACTCTCTCCGTGTTTCTGTTTCTGTTCTCTCTGGGATGTATGAGGTCCTGCAGCAGGCTCACTGTATTCAGAGTTGTTAAACAGAGCATAATCCACCTCTCGGGGCAACGGTGGCCTCTGAGGAACATCAGCCACTGCCTGCAGGGTAAGGCACAAACATAGAGAAATGGAATCCAGCTTCCCACTATATCCTCAATATCCAGCCTTTCCCCCACTCTCTTCATGTCACTAATGCAGCTTCTTTCTATGTCCCTCAGCCTACTCAGCTAGAGCAGGAAACCCTGTTTCCTGTTTTGTTAATGTTCAATAATCCACAGTGAGGTGATGATATACGCTGTCATTTTGAGCCGTGTTTGGTTCACTCACCTGCCCGTGGGGAGGGCACTGCCTACACATTGGAGCTGGCAGTGGGGATAACAGAGCCACAGTTTGTGGAGACACTCGGTGCAGCTCCGGCGGCTGGTCCCAGGCAGGGGTAGCTGTCAGTAACATCACTGCCGAGGGAAGGGTAAACACAAAGAAATGGCTTCAAACAGGAGAAATACAAACATTGTTCCCACAACTTTCAACACAGCCCACAGTCACACAAGATGAAGAGGTACAGGACCCTGGGAAATGTTGGACAGTCAGGACTAAGGAAGTTCACACCATGGATTCTGTACAGTCAGGATCCCAGTGCTATAGGTTCTACAACAATATAGATGTCATGACCGATAAATTCTTCAGGATATTATAAGAATGCGTATAGATTCTACAGGACGTGACTATGACTATTGCCAACTGTGTATCAATGTGAAAATTCATGTGGGACTCTATTTCCCAGTGAGTGTCAGTGTGTGTGTGTGTGTGTGGGACCCTGTACCTCAGTGAGAGTCAGTGTGTGTGTGGGGGAACCCTGTACCTCAGTGAGAGTCAGTGTGTGTGTGTGGGACCCTGTACCCCAGTGAGAG